GAACTGCAGCGGTTCAAAAAAGAGGTTACCTTGTTTCTGCGATGTCCGACAAAAGTTAGGCTCAAAAAGTAGCAACCTTGTACCATCACCATGGGCGGAGTGTCCCTTGGAGTGATCCAAGCTTGCTGGCATGGACGCCGGCATGGACGCCGGCATGGCCGCCGGCATGGCCGCCGGCATGGGCGCTGGCATGGACGGCATGACGTTCTGGTAGGCCCCGGCCATAATGTCAGCGGGCATGTAGGTGTATTGCGGCTCGCTGCCGTAGACCTGCCCTGCAGGCATGCTGTATCCGTCACTGTACCCTGCTGGGAGGCCGTAGGGCGAGGTTGTGTAGGTCATTGGCATGCCGGCATCCGACTGAATCGTGTAGGCCGGCATCGGGTCGTTCATGTACATCGGGGCGGCCATGGCGGAAGGCTCGGCGGCTTCTACTTCCGAGTCTTTCTGAGTCAGATGATGCGCTGGGCCAGAGGAGAGCCGAGCCGGGATGCCTTCACTGTCTGCACATCTCAGCTGACCCTACTTCATGCTAACAAAAAAGCTATGGGGTTTAGGGCCAGGGCAGCCCACCTAAGCCCAAGCAACACTTAGGTAGTACTGCGGGGGATGGGGGGCACTCGAGATCGAGCCGCAGTTTAGGGTTTAGGATTCAGGGTTCAGGGTTTGGGTAATGGAGTCTGGAAAGCAGATGTCACTTTTCGTGTCGAGTGCGGAGGCGCAGAAAAGAAGTAGTTTCTGTTCCCAGAGGGAATGCTACCACACGCTCCCGGGTGATGCCCAAGCAGTTGCGACAGGATCTGAAGGGGGGGGGGGGGGTCCGGTTTAGGGTTCAGGGTTCAGGGCTCAGGATTTAGGATTGAGGGTTTAGGGTTTAGGGTTTAAGATTAGGGTTTAAGGATTGACTCCAAGACTCAAGAGGGTTGGAAGCCCTGCTAGACACAAGAGTAACCTAGAGTTAAAAAGGGGGAATCGAAACAAGGGATTTTGGGCCTACTCTCTGGGTAGAACTTTGCAGCCTCATGTTGGGACATCTGGGCTGATACCCGGGATAGTGCTCCGACGATGCCACATTCATATGCGCCGCGTTCGCGGCCAGGGGCACCGGCAGGGACAGCAACTAGGTTTTAAGGTTCCGGGCTTATAAGGTGTAGGGTTTACCCTAAACCCTAAACCCTAAACCCTTAACCCTTAACCCTAGACCCTTTATTCTTGGCGATGATGGGAATGATGGAGCTTGAGTGCCAGGGTTCAGGGGCATTCAGGACAGCGCCTTTAAATCTCATGAACTGGCACTGACATTTCAGCATCTGCATGCTGGCGGGGGGCCGCACTTAGTGCAGGCGGTCGAGAGATGGGTCGAAGCGACCGCAACATGCAACCTGCATGAGTTCAAACATTTGCATGCGTGTCGAATTGACGTTTGCCGCCATTGCGCACGGCAATGCAAAGACGCGGAATAAACAGGGAGCAGCAAGCAAGGAACCAAGCTTCGAGAAAGCCAGAAGCGCTTCAGATGTAAGTACTTGGTAGCCCAGTAACCAAATTATAATAAGGGTACCCTTTCTGGGTGAACTTACTGTACAAGGGAACCATGAACTAAAAGAAAGGCAAAAGGGTACCACTGGGCGACCTCCTAAACCCCAAAACCCTAAAGCCCTAAAACCCTAAAACCCTAAACCCTTAAACCCTTAAACCCTTAAACCCTACACCCTTAAACCCTAAACCCTAAGTATGTTCCAACCATCAAGGCCTCAACCCGAAGCCAACGGCACACCCTGGCCCTGGAAGCCAAACGACATGTTCAGGGCGTTTAGGGGTTTACGGGTTTAGGGGTTGGGGGTTTAGGGTTTAGGGTTTAGGGTTTAGGGTTTAGGGTTTAGGGTTTAGGGTTTAGGGTTTAGGGTTTAGGGTTTAAACCCAGAGGCCCTGGGATGCCATGCATGTTCTCAAGCCGTATTCTGGACATCTCAGTGTTGGTTCCTATAGTATGCCGGCATTTCCGATGGAGGCGTGGGAATCCTTCGGGTTTAGGGTTTAGGGCTGAGGGCTGAGGGCTTAGGGCTTAGGGCTTAGGGCTTAGGGCTTTGGGCTTAGGGCTTAGGGCTTAGGGCTTAGGGCTCGGGGCTTTGGGCCTAGGGCTTAGGGCGTGGGGCTTAGCGGGTCTGGGGTTGAGGGTTTAGCGCCTCGGTTCAGGGCTCCAGGGGCTATTGATGTACCGAACCCCTGAGCCCTAAGCCCTAAACCCTACTATCGGGCCGCCAGGACGAAGCCATTCAATTCGCTTAGACGTTTGTGGGGGGAGATGGGATTCAGCGCTTGAAGGCTTAGCCCCAGGGCTGAGGCTCTAAGGTCCAGGATGTAGGGTTAACTGGGGTCGGTTGTTGCGGGCCCTACAAAAATTTCGAAAAGCTATGTAGGGGATTGAGGGTAGTACAGAATTAAAATCATGTTCAAACCCACCCGGGCTAAGGGTTGGGTTGACTGCTACTCCCTAAGGCTCCCTAAGGCTCCCTCAGGCTCCCTAAGAGCCCCTTAGGGTTTAGGGTTTAGGGTTTAGGGTTTAGGGTTTAGGGTTTAGGGTTTAGGGTTTAGGGTTTAGGGTTTAGGGTTTAGGGTTTAGGGTTTAGGGTTTAGGGTTTAGGTTAGGGTTTAGGGTTTAGGGTTTAGGGTTTAGGGTTTAGGGTTTAGGGTTTAGGGTTTAGGGTTTAGGGTTTAGGGTTTAGGGTTTAGGGTTTCCCCCCTTGAAGCCCCCCCCCTTAAGAACCTTATAAGTTGAGGGCTAAGGGTATCCTTGCAGGATTCAAGGATCCCCATCCAGCCTCTCTCTTTTTGGGAGGGATCCTTAGTCTTCTTCCCCTAAATAACCCCCATACATACCCTAGAGCTTACCTCTATACCAAAGTAACCCCTTCAAGAACCCTAAACAAAACCCTAAGGTCTAAACCCTAAACCCTAAACCCTAAACCCCAAACCCTAAACCCTAAACCCTAAGGGCCCCTCCTTTAGTCCCTTGAACTGTTTAAAAAAGCACCAGCTGATGCAAGGCAAGGCCTCGCCGGCCGCCCAGGGCAGAAGGCCCGTTCCCTAAGCCCTAAGCCCTAAACCCTAAACCCTAAACCCTAAACCCTAAACCCTAAACCCCAGATAATCTGACAAAAACGTCGACTCGGGCTCCCAGACGGGACACTTGGCCTTGGGAAGGCTCTTTGCTTGGATTTCGGTCTATGCCGTCCAACAAAAACAAGGAGCTCTTCACGAAACGGAAGCAGGCAAAGTCGCTTGCTGTAGGGTTTAGGGTTTAGGGTTTAGGGTTTAGGGTTTAGGGTTTAGGGTTTAGGGTTTAGGGTTTAGGGTTTAGGGTTTAGGGTTTAGGAATTAGGGTTTAGGGTTGAGGATTTAGGCTTAGCGTTTGAAACCTTAAGCCTGATCCGATTCGAGCCTTCAAACGCAAGGACTTCAGCTGCCAGCCCTCAACCCTAGGGTGCAGGGTTTAGGGTTTAGGGTTTAGAGTTTGGGGTTTGGGGTTTAGGGTTTAGGGTTTGGGGTTTAGGGTTTAAGGTTTAGGGTCTAGGGCCTAAACCCTACACCCGAAACCCTCATCCCTAAACCCCACACCCTAGGCCCTAAACCCTCAACCCTAAACCACCTAAAGCTGCCCGAACAAACGACCCGAGGATGCCAGCGTTTCGCCTTCTCGGCTCCTTAGTTGTCCAGCAACCTGGGGGACTTCAAGGTTAACCTTTGGGATTATATTATAGTGCGCACGGTACTACCCCGAAAAGGCTAAAGGTTACCTACTCTACTACTAGGGCTCTTACACGAAGCCTCATCCTCATGAACCGTCCAATTGCTATCTGCTGGAGGATCCTGGATTGTTGCTGGCTGGAGCCCTAAACCCTAAACCCTAGTTCCTAAGCCGTAAACCTTTTAGAGCGTTGGGCTACAGATGTAGAGGCTGTTTTGTGTTGGGATATCGTAACCTTCAAGGTCTACTTTGCAGTAGGAACCCTCACGAAGAAAAGCGTCCACTTGAAAAGGGGCTGTATGCCTGTATGCGATGCCATGCAGACACGGGCACTAGTGAGCTTGGGTCCTTGCAGGGGCACTGTTGTCACTTGTTGATATCGCGAGCTTTGCCTTCAATTTAAATTTTAAAGTTTCATTGGGTGCTTCCCAAAAAAGGGGGTGCCCCGGAATGTGCCCCAACATACTATAAGAACTATTCTTGGAACTCCAAAAAGCACACCCCCCTGTTTTTTTTGGAAATACCCTTGGTCCCTACAGATCCGCTCAGGTGACGGAGATCAGATAGAAAGTTCTTTTCTTTCCAGGAACCTGGTCAACGTTCACGGCTGTCGGTTCAGGGTTTGGGGAATTAGGGCTTAGGAATTAGGGCTTAGGGCTTAGGGCTTAGGGCTTAGGGCTTAGGGCTTAGGGCTTACGGCTTAGGGCTTAGGGCTTAGGGCTTAGGGCTTAGGGCTTAGGGTTTAGGGTTTAGGGTTTAGGGTTCAGGGTTTAGTGTTGAAGGTTGAGGGTTTAGGGTTTTAAGGGTTTAGTGTTGAAGGTTGAGGGTTTGGGGTTTAGGGTTGAAGGTTTAGGGTTTAGAGTTTACTGTTTGGGGAACTAGCTGGTTTGGGGAACTAGCTGGCATACCCACCGACCCACGGGCCGGCGATTAGTGAAGCCTGTTTTTGTCTTCGCTCCATTCACCCCTTTGCGCGCCCCCCCCCCCCCCCCCCCCCCCCCCCTCCCCCTCACCTAAACCCTAAACCCTAAACCCTAAACCCTAAACCCCAAACCCTAAACCCTAAACCCCAAACCCAAAACCCTCACCACCCCTACCTAAAAGATGGGTGGTTGAGAGCTTCCCTTTCCTGCACACCGGGCTTAGGGCTTTAAGGCTAACACAGGGCTGAGGGGTTAAAGGTTTAGGGCACCCTAAACCCTAAACCCTAGACCCTAAACCCTAAACCCTTAGGGCACCCTAAACCCTAAACCCTTAATCCTAAACCCCAAACCCTGAACGGGGCTTCTAGCAACAGCTCGACTGCGCTAAGGGATGGCGAGAAGTGGGGCTGAGGCGCTGAAGTTGCCGAGGCTTTGGATCCCACGCAGTTTAGGGTTTAGGGTTTAGGGTTCAGGTTTTAGGGCTTAGGGTTTAGGGTTTAGGGTTTAGGGTTTAGGGTTTCGGGTTTCGGGTTTAGGGTTTAGGGTTTAGGGTTTAAGGTTTAGGGTTTTCAGAAGGGTTTAGGGTTTAGGGTTTAGGCTTTGGTTGAGGGTGCTGAACCATGCGCACGGTGACGGATAGATAATCTTCCATCTCCGTCTCAGGGAAATCGAAGGAAACAAGCCCCAGCCAGCTTGAGTCGTCGCCGAAGACCTAAAACCCTAAGCCCCCGAAGCCCCAA